TTTAAAATTATAATTGCTTTCAAAGAGTTTAGAATAAAGCTGAGAGTAAAGAATAAATCAATTAACTGTGGAGAACAAGATCAATTAACTATGGAGAACAAGACTAAAAATGGCCATGACAAGAAAATTCAGTTATTTCTGTGGCATGCAGTAATTTAAAATAAGCAAAATTATGACTGATAGCATTTATACCAAGACACATCAGATTTTTAGAACCCTATACAATCTTGGCACATATATTAATAACATATCTGTGTAATTCAAAGAAGGTAAAACATCATTTATTGTTTTGACAGTGCTTCCCATATAATTTAACCTGTCAGATAAGTCCAGTTGGTTTTAATGTCTCTTTTTGATAAATCCCTTGAGAAGCCCCAGGTCCCTTTGGAACACCTCAAAGTTAGTTTAAGGTCAAAAAGACCCAATTTTTAGAATTTGATTTTTTTGTGAAGTTTGTCAGATATCAGAGGTTTAAAACACTTAATTAAGTAGGATCATAAAACATTATAAAATAAAACCAAAGTGACAAAAGATTTAGAAGACGCAAAGCACAAGAAATTGTTTTGATGAAACACAGAATCTGTTTCCCAAGCCAATCACCTAAAAGATTAAGAAAACCTCATAATTTTCTACTAAGAGCAGTTAGTGCTTTGAGAAGATCCTGTCATTCCAACACAGGGGAGCAAACTTTAGCCTTGTATCATAGAATAATTTTTTTTATTATTTATGTATGTTTATGGGGTACAGAGTTGACTATCAGTATTTGTGTACAGTATGTGACAATCAAATATTAGCATGTTCATTAGAAATTGTGATTACTTTTTGTGTTCCTTACCCAATTACTGCCTATATCCCCTTCTTTTCCCCCTTTCTCATCTCTATTCACTGTAGGTCTATAAAACAATGTTTCGTATGTTTACTAACAGACCCAAATATATATAGCTTTTCTGTACCATATAAAAACAAGATGTCAATGTATGTGAACTTTAAGGTTATGCTCAATAATTAACGTTTTAGTTTTTAACTTATTTAGAAATAACCCAAACAATTAACAAATATCTATTACATAATTGCCCTTGAAGTTTCAGGTTACCAAGGACTTTTTTTTTTATTAGAAAAGTTTATAAACATTTATGCTTGATTTACTTATTTTTAACAACCCTGCTCGAACTGTTTGTTAAAATTCTATAAGACATTGAACAAACTAACCATCATCTCAAGTTGTCCTGTAAACCCTTTCTACAGCATGTGAATGTAAGGCAGTCTCTGCCTAAGCAAGAACCCTAAAGTTGTATAAGTGGGTGTTTTACTGATCAGGAGATGCATCTGTTTTCATTAACCTCAAAACAGAAAACTGATCTGATTTACCTAAGATTTGCCCAAGTCACATGAACTAAAAAGCATTGGAGTTAGGTTATCCCACCTCTTTTTTTTTTTTTTTAATGAAATATTTGATTTAAGCACTTTTTTTTAGCCAATTAATTAGAGCTCTTTCTTATATTTTGGTAGAGAAACATCACATACGCATAAGACATATAGACATACAGACACACATACAGAAGTTGATCTTACAGCTTTGGTAAGATTCTTGACAGTTTTTAAAATAATGCCTCTCCCTCCTTTAGACAGTTCTTCAGTCCATTTTAGTTCCCCAAGTAATTGTTAGCCAGGAAACTCTAAATTCCAAAGAGATGACTGCCAAATGAAGTGAGGTAGACAGTTTGCCCAAAGAAAAAGAGAAGGAGGTAAATGCCTCGTTAAGACAATTTACAGAAAAAGCAGCTTAAAAAAGGTAAGATTTCTTACGTAAACTAAAGTCTTCCGTACTGCAAACGTTTCTAGTAATTTAGGTGCCTACAGGGAGACTCCTATACAAATGAAGATTTTCTTTATAGATGTAAATTTCTTTTACAAAGAGTTTCAAAATACCCACCTAGATGTCAGAAATTTGTATTTTGCACACCAATTTTAGTCCTATGGGCTGTCTTTTCAACTTATTTCTTAATTAGATTACTTACTTTGGGATGGAGAACTATAATGAATATGGTGAAGAAAAGCGTTTTCTATGTCTGGTCGGCCTGGAAGGGCCTAACTTTTGTAAATACTTTAGACTTTTTTGTGTGTTCAGGTTAGGACAGTAATTAATCAAAACGTTGGTAGATTTAATTTTCTTAAGCTTTTTACTTGGTCTTCTATGAACAACCTTTTAAAGAGGAAATAAAAAATTTTGAAATCTTTTGAGAAGCTTCTGAGTGGGCCTAATTAAAGTGGCCTTGTTTTAAAATACACTTTAGCCCTTCTAAGACCCAGAGCTACTCTAAAAAACAGCCAAAAGAAAGAATAATGCCTTAAGAACTGGCAACAGTTGGTATAACTGCAAGTGGGGTGCAACCCACATTTCTGTCCAGCCATATTCTTGGGGCTCCCAACCTTCTGGTTGGTTGCATTCATGTGCAGTCCCTATAAATCACGTGTCCCCAACAGATAGAAAGTCAAGCCAAGTTGTCAGGATGAAGAGCCAGATCATGTGAGGGAAAGGATCAATCTCTGGAACATTCCACGTGATGGTCATCATAATTCTGAGTTTTTTTTTTTTTTTTT